GTCTCTAGCTCTCTGTCTAACTCTAGCTCTCTGCGAGCCTCTAGCTCTCTGTGTGTCTCTAGCTCTCTCTGTATATCTCTAGCTCTCTGTGAGTCTCTAGCTCTCTGTGAGTCTCTAGCTCTCTCTGTTTAACTCTAGCTCTCTGCAAGTCTCTAGCTCTCTGTGAGTCTCTAGCTCTCTCTAACTCTAGCTCTCTGTGAGTCTCTAGCTCTCTGTGAATCTCTAGCTCTCTGTGAATCTCTAGCTCTCTCTGTCTAACTCTAGCTCTCTGTGAATCTCTAGCTCTCTCTGTCAAACTCTAGCTCTCTGCGAGCCTCTAGCTCTCTGTGTGTCTCTAGCTCTTTCTGTCTAACTCTAGCTCTCTGCGAGTCTCTAGCTCTATATGAGTCTCTAGCTCTATATGAGTCTCTATCTCTCTCTGTCTAACTCTAGCTCTCTGCTAGTCTCTAGCTCTCTGTGAGTCTCTAGCTCTCTCTGTCTAACTCTAGCTCTCTGCAAGTGTCTAGCTCTCTGTGAGTCTCTAGCTCTCTCTAACTCTATCTCTCTGTGAGTCTCTAGCTCTCTGTGTGCCTCTAGCTCTCTGTGAGTCTCTAGCTCTCTGCGAGCCTCTAGCTCTCTGTGTGCCTCTAGCTCTCTCTGTATAACTCTAGCTCTCTGTGAGTCTCTAACTCTCTGTGAGTCTCTAGCTCTCTCTGTCTAACTCTAGCTCTCTGCGAGTCTCTAGCTCTCTGTGAGTCTCTAGCTCTCTCTAACTCTAGCTCTCTGTGAGTCTCTAGCTCTCTGTGAATCTCTAGTTCTCTGTGAGTCTCTAGCTCTCTCTAACTCTAGCTCTCTGTGAGTCTCTAGCTCTCTGCTAGTCTCTAGCTCTCCGTGAGTCTCTAGCTCTCTCTGTCTAACTCTAGCTCTCTGCGAGTGTCTAGCTCTCTGTGAGTCCCTAGCTCTCTCTAACTCTAGCTCTCTGTGAGTCTCTAGCTCTCTGTCTAACTCTAGCTCTCTGTGAGTCTCTAGCTCTCTGCGAGAATCTAGCCCTCTGTTTGTCTCTAGCTCTCTCTGTATAACTCTAGCTCTCTGTGAGTCTCTAGCTCTCTCTGTATAACTCTAGCTCTCTGTGAGTCTCTAGCTCTCTGTGAGTCTCTAGCTCTCTCTGTCTAACTCTAGCTCTCTGCGAGTCTCTAGCTCTCTGTGAGTCTCTATCTCTCTCTAACTCTAGCTCTCTGTGAGTCTCTAGCTCTCTGTAAATCTCTAGCTCTCTGTGAGTCTCTAGCTCTCTGTGAGTCTCTATCTCTCTCTAACTCTAGCTCTCTGTGAGTCTCTAGCTCTCTGTGAGTCTCTAGCTCTCTCTAACTCTAGCTCTCCATGAGTCTCTAGCTCTCTCTGTCTAACTCTAGCTCTCTGCGAGCCTCTAGCTCCATTTGAGTCTCTAACTCTCTCTGTCTAACTCTAGCTCTCTGCGAGTCTCTTGCTCTCTGTCTAATTCTAGCTCTCTGTGAGTCTCTAGCTCTCTCTAACTCTAGCTCTCTGTGAGTCTCTAGCTTTCTGTGAATCTCTAGCTCCCTGTCTAATTCTAGCTCTCTGTGAGTCTCTAGCTCTCTCTAACTCTAGCTCTCTGTGAGTCTTTAGCTCTCTGTGAATCTCTAGCTCCCTGTCTAACTCTAGCTCTCTGTCTAACTCTAGCTCTCTGTGAGTCTCTAGCTCTCTCTAACTCTAGCTCTCTGTGAGTCTCTAGATTTCTGTGAATCTCTAGCTCCCTGTCTAACCCTAGCTCTCTGTGAGTCTCTAGCTCTCTGTGAGTCTCTAGCTCTCTGTCTAACTCTAGCTCTCTGTGAGTCTCTAGCTCTCTGTGAATCTCTAGCTCCCTGTCTAATTCTAGCTCTCTGTCTAACTCTAGCTCTCTGTGAGTCTCTAGCTCTCTCTAACTCTAGCTATGTGTGAGTCTCTAGCTTTCTGTGAATCTCTAGCTCCCTGTCTAACTCTAGCTCTCTGTGAGTCTCTAGCTCTTTCTAACTCTAGCTCTCTGTGAGTCTTTAGCTCTCTGTGAATCTCTAGCTCCCTGTCCAACTCTAGCTCTCTGTGAGTCTCTAGCTCTCTGTCTAACTCTAGCTATCTGTGAGTCTCTAGCTCTCTGTGAATCTCTAGCTCCCTGTCTAACTCTAGCTCTCTGTCTAACTCTAGCTCTCTGTGAATCTCTAGCTATGCCTCCACTCATGGGCAGCTGGTTCTGCTGCCCGAATGACATCTCAGTGGGAGGTCCATTCAGTTCCTTCTAAAAGGAGAGCTGGCATGTGTAAAACCAACTGACACAGGGCAGATTTTAAATTTGTCCCATTTTTTTAACATGACAAGTTGCTCTCCAGGAATCTTCTCCATCAGCCAACCTGAGGGGAGAGGGACCCTGCACAACTGAAACATTTTAGACATATAGTTTTTTGTTTTTTTTGACACACACATAGGCAATGGATGGATTATGTAAACCTACTTTTTTTCTCATATTTATTAGCGTACCCTTTATTTTCTAGATTAAGCATCCTACGGTGTCTAAACTACTGCAAATATTTTTTTCTACATAAAAACAAGTGCCTCTGTGGCTGAGCCTCCACTGAATATACATAGCTCAATGTCCTCTCAGCAATATCTCCTCAATTCATAAACATTGGTATCACTAACAAACCTGTATCCAGTGCTTAATTAAGAGTCTAATTGATCTGGTGATTATGATGATTATAATGGGCTTATTTACAGAATTATTGACAAAAAACACTAAAGCAGCTATCAATCCAAAGTTTCCTGAATTTAGTGTGACTGTTTCAATAAGGAACCTGAGTCCTGACAACTTGGGATATTTCTTTGGCATTCTGCTTTTGTACCCATTAATTTGTTAGGTGAAGGGGCATGGCTCTGGACCCATGAATCTACTTTCCCCCATTTACTATTCCATTGAAATAAGAAGGGAGAAAGAGGCAAATTGGAGACCTGCGTAGTGTCCTGTTGGGATCAGAAACTCTGAGATTTTCTCCCCTGATGATCCTTACATACAAATAGTATCTCTTTTTAACAAACACTACAAAATGGGGTGGAGCTATAACAAATAGTATAACAGTGTATACATACGTATTTCAATAAATAATCTGTAAAAGATAATATAATAAAAGAAAAACAATGGTGCAAGTAAGTTAGTACAATATGAGTAAAAGTAAAGGTGATGAGTAGCACTCACAATGATGGAGCCAAAAATCACACTTGGCTATGTTGGAAAACGCCTGTGAGACTTTTAAGGGAGATCCAGCACCCTTGTATGTTTCCTTTAGCGGGGGCTGGTAGATGCTTCCAGCTAGCCAGGGTAAACAGGAACTCAACAAAATGAATATGGTAGTAAACAATTTATTTGAATAACTTATAAATAAAAGAAAACAACAGAATATAAACATAAAAGTCCAAATGGAAATAAAATATTTCATCCAGTACCATTTCCATGCACTGAGCAAAAGTGTGATCTAAATAATATCAACTTTCTGGTTTTCCATCTTCAGTAAGATATTGATCCTTCCCAGAAGCATGAAGTGTCGGTAGTGTTTCTAGAACAACAGGTGTGCGGCTGGTTTCTTTGTGAATTAAAATAAATAATGGCACATTATGAAATATTGTAAGAGTCCATAATTGCATTGCATAGATTTTCAGCTGCCAAACATGGCAGGTGAGCCCTTTCTGCTTCAATTAACTAATCTCGCATGTAGTTACCCTCCATATTAACCTGGGTATACAAAAATGGCACATAGAGGACTAAAACAAATATATTATGATTATTGTTATTTTTATTATCATTATTACTGGAATTTATAAAGCACCAAAATCTTCCAAGTCTGACAAATACCCTGTATTCATGTTAAAATTTCGCCAAGTCGAGTCAAAAATATCTCCTTCAGAATTATTGGTGTTGCAACTCCATTTTTTATTGTTTTTTTTTTAATGTTGATTTTAATGAGCATAAATATAGAAAGTCTAATCTCTGTAACTAGAATATACTTAAAGGAACACTATAGTCACCTAAATTACTTTAGCTAAATAAAACAGTTTTAGTGTATAGGTCATTCCCCTGCAATTTCACTGCTCAATTCACTGTCATTTAGGAGTTAAATCAATTTGTTTCTGTTTATGCAGCCCTAGCCACACCTCCCCTGGCTATGACTGACAGAGCCTGCATGAAAAAAAAAACTGGTTTCACTTTCAAACAGATGTAATTTACCTTAAATAATTGTATCTCAATCTCTAAATTAAACTTTAATCACATACAGGAGGCTCTTGCAGGGTCTAGCAAGCTATTAACACAGCAGGGGATAAGAAAATCTTAATTAAACAGAACTTGCAATAAAGAAAGCCTAAATAGGGCTCTCTTTACAGGAAGTGTTTATGGAAGGCTGTGCAAGTCACATGCAGGGAGGTGTGACTAGGGTTCATAAACAAAGGGATTTAACTCCTAAATGGCAGAGGATTGAGCAGTGAGGCTGCAGGGGCATGTTCTATACACCAAAACTGCTTCATTAAGATAAAGTTGTTCAGGTGACTATAGTGTCCCTTTAAATACTGACAAAATAAGCAAACTCAAGCTTGAAAAAGTAAACTGTCATTTTTGCAGTTAAAATTTAATAATTGCTAACCATTCAACAATACAATTACTTCTCACCACGTTGTCCTTTAGCGAGGAGATGGAAGGATGAAACCCAGACAATTGATACGTTCATGAGAAAAGTGAACTTCATCCAAGAAATGGAGGAAATGTCTGCTAAACTTAGATGGAATCTAGCCTCAAACAACAAAACCTGACGTTCCTGTATTGATACAAAATTAGACAATCATCCTGAATGATATCATCTTGCCTATCCCACATACTTATCACCTCCCTCGCCCACCCTTTATTATCCTCATTCTTTCTTATCTTTCTGTATTTCGATATATAATTATACACTTTAACAAACTATAAACTTATATTAAAATGCTAATGAAATGAGATTGGGAGTTAGAACACAAAGCAAGCTTTATCATTATTTATTTATTTTTTTGTATTTTTGCAGTGCAGAATAATTTAACAGGCAAGCATGAGGTACCCTAACGGCATTCCTCATGCGTAATGTCAAGCTTTACAGAAGGGGTATCTGCTAATACATGCACCATTTTATAGTTTATAACTAAGAAGGAGATGAGTCACAGGTTAGGTAGATACACATTTCAAGATATAAACAGGCAAGTAATAAGGTTCTTTTCTAATCTGTGTGTGGGATTATAAACATATATGTGGTGGTTATCATGCTGGAACATGTTTTAGATGTGCTATATATGCATGCAGTGTGAGATGTCTGCTGGGTTTGAAGAGTTGGTTGTGGTTAATGTTATAACGCTGTTACCTTTAGGAGCAGGAGAGTGGGTAGGTATTGGAGATAAGTAGTGATGTCGCGAACATGAAATTTTCGGTTCGCGAATGGCGAACGCGAATTTCGGCAAATGTTCGCGAACCCGCGAACCGGGCGAACCGCCATAGACTTCAATAGGCAGGCGAATTTTAAAACACACAGGGACTCTTTCTGGCCACAATAGTGATGGAAAAGTTGTTTCAAGGGGACTAACACCTGGACTGTGGCATGCAAGCTCCGATCCGCGGCTGCATCTTGCAGCCGCTTAGTAGATAATTCCCTAATTCCCACGGTATTAGGGAGCTATCTACTAAAAGGCTGAAAGACCTAAATTGGTCTTTCAGCCACATTTACTAATACTAAGTAAAGATTACTTAGTATTAGTAAATTCTGCCCCTACTCGCTATGCAGTGAGTAGGGGCATGTCTAGTAAGCAGTGAACAGCCAGTGTAAAATGACACAGAGCACTCTGATTGGTGGATTTAGGGCCCCCACCCGCCGCTCAGGGGTGGGGGCCAGGGGGGAGGACCTTAGCTCCCCCCCCATTGTGATTTATTTTCCCCCACCCACCGCTCAGGGGTGAAGGCCAGGGGGGAGGACATTAGGTCCCCCCCCTTTTAGTATTTAGGGCCCCCACCCGCCGCTCAGGGGTGGGGGCCGGGGGGGAGGACATTAGGTCCCCCCCTTTTTAGTATTTAGGGCCCCCACCCGCAGCTCAGGGGTGGGGGCCAGGGGGGAGGACCTTAGGTCCCCCCATTGTGATTTATTTGCCCCCACCCACTGCTCAGGGGTGGGGGCCAGGGGGGAGGACATTAGGTCCCCCCCTTTTTAGTATTTAGGGCCCCCACCCGCCGCTCAGGGGTGGGGGCCAGGGGGGGGACCTTAGGTCCCCCCCTTTTTAGTATTTAGGGCCCCCACCTGCCGCCCGAGCGGCGGGTGGGGGGGTTGTCAAAGTTTACTCAATGATATGGAATAGGGGGCGGACCGAACATCGCATATGTTCGCCCGCCGTGGCGAACGCGAACATGCGATGTTCGCCAGGAACTATTCGCCAGCGAACTGTTCGGGACATCTCTAGAGATAAGCTGAACATGCTGGACAGGGCTCTTATATAATCAAAACTTTTCTAAATCTCCTGAGATTACAGTGCCCCTTTGCAGTGTCGAAGACACATTTAGGGTGTGAGTCCAAGGCTGTACTTTGCTACATTGTGTAATCATATTGCGAGGGAAAGCTCCATATCTGAGCAGGTTATTGGGGATGGTGTGTGGTTCTATGTGGCTCTAGGCTCAAGCATTTCCAGTTATTTTCAACACACTCCACAGGGCGGGAAAGCGTGGAGGTCCCGGGAGTTCTGGCCATCAGGTTGCGAGGGGGGCCCTGTCGGTCCCGTGTATGAGCATGAGTCAGCGGTGTTTCGCTAGACAGTCCTTCCGTTGCAGGTTTTTTTTGGCTGACCTGGGTGGTGGTCATTTCCATCTGTTCCCGGACCCGCGGTGTCTATGCACCACGTGTCTTCGGTCTGAGGCCTTAAGGGGCACTCGCGCCTTCGTGCCATCGATCCCTTTCCGAGGGTCGTGGGCCCAGGGTTTCTCCGGTTCGTGGCTGTCTCCCCGGTGTATGGCTGGCGTAGGAGAGGTGCCTCCAGGTAACTGCCCAGCTCAGGAGAAAGGCAACTGGCGGAGACTACAGCATCGTCCATACATGTGTCTGGGCTTGTGGGTTCGATAGAGTTGGTCTCTGAGATGGCTGCCGTCTGGAGCTGCGAGGTAGGAGTGATAGGCGGTTGCGTCTGCTCTGCACGTACTTCGATCTGGCACCAGAGCACTGCACATATCTTATCGAATTCGGCATTGAAGTTGGCTTTCCAGGTTGTTTCAGCGTGTTCCCCTGCTTCGTCGGTCATGTTGATTGCGGCCCGGGAGCGGGAAGTGGCGGTGTAGCTTGGTGGGGTGCTCTTTACTGCTTTTTCCCCCAGCAGGGACTGGGATGACCCCCGCTGGTCCAGAGGGGGGGGAAACGGGTTGTTTGCATTAGCCCAGTGGCCCCAGGTTCCTCCACATGTATAGGCCTCAGAAGCGTCTTTTGCCTTCAGATCGGCGGGTGATTCTCTGGAGTCATCCGTGTATGTTCCCCATCGCATAGGTATAGTATACCGTCTCTTTGGTCGTTGTTTTGGGGGTAACATCCCATTTTGTTCTCGGTTAGGCTTGGTTTGTGAGAGGAGCTCACCACACACACGTCTGTCGGCCATGCTGGTCAGGCCCCGCCCCCAACTTTATCATTATTAATGTATAACCTATTATTAGTTTTACACATACTATTTCATTTTTACTGTTAAACCACCTGGCTGTGAAGAAATACTGGAGGCGAACATTACTGATTGATTTAAATTAGAGGCCCCTTCTAAATCTTATCCCACGTCTCAAAAGGATAAATACATCACTTTATTTTATGATGTGGTGTATAAGCAATTCATCCTTTTGTGTGACTCTACATTATATACAAGAAAGATCCTAAATGTATCCAAGGAAGAGAGTAGAACCTTACATCAACTAAAAGGGTCACCTGATGTAGTTATCAAGAGCTCAGACAAGGGGGGAGGTATAGTTATTTGGATTCATGGAGATTACTTGGCAGAGGCTAACAATATATATGAGAAAGCATTTTTGCTGTCCCTGTTTGCCTTCAAATAGCTAACGCCTAGAAAAACTTATCTAACCCACCGCCCCTGGTAGGCCCATAAATTTGTGTGTCGAGTTCTTTACTTCCCACATGTCCAAAAAGGTTAATTATAATTTCCAGAGATATGTGAGGGCTTTTCCATTATATATCAGGGACATAGGACAAATCTTACAACTCCTGGATTGTTTTGTATGGAAACACAGTAAAAGTTAGGTAACTATAGATGTGGTTGCCTTTTATATAAATATAGCTCAGAAACTGGCTTTGGAAGTCATCCAGTTTTATGTCTACGGGGACCCACTTCTCCCTAAGACTCAGGCTAGATCCCTGCTACATGTTACCCAATCTATACTTTCCCACAAATACTTTAATTTTGATGGTCAGTTTTATGTTTAAGTCAATGGAACAGTGATAGGGGCTGGTTTTGCCCCTCATATGCTAACCTATTTCTGGGTTATTGGGAGAAATGTTATTTATGGTATAGGGGTGGCAGATTGGTCTTCTACCACCGTTTCAATAACAGTTATTATTATGTGGGATGGTGATCCAACAGATGTCACTCTGTTTCTTTCATGCATTAATGACAATGGTAAGTGTGTTTTTACTTCCAACACTGGAAAATCAAAGATTTATTTTCTGGATTTAAACCCTAATGGTGACATTTAGTACATTTATGACGAAAAATGACTACAAACCTGTAAGTTAACGGGTATTTGTCAGCTACAAGTGGATACGATGGATCAAGAATGTTACCCCTGGACAATTTACACGAATTAGGAGGAATTGCACAACCTTGTTATATTATGATAACAAGGCTCTTAGGTTAATTGGTTTTTGGAGAGGAGTTATCCACCGGCCAATTTACTTGAGACTTATGTGAAGATGGAAATTACGAATAGAATGTGTCTCATATTTCCTGAGAACTTGAGTCCAATAGACATACAGGGACGAGGTTGTACAGGAATCTTCCCATATAGATGTCATAGATGTAATGTTTGGATCTATTAAAACAATCTCAAATCGTACTTTGCAACATTTTTTTTTTTTTTTTTTTACATAGTAGAATCGACATATTGTTTAATACCATTATAGAATGCTATTTTTAAGAGAATGCTACTTTTGACCTAATTAATAAGAAACTCCAAAGTCACAAACATCAAGATCTCTCAAGTCCCAGTTTAAGGTGATAAATGTTATGACCAACACACCCCTGTCTAGGCACTTTAAAAGTAGGATTGGATTCGAAAGGGTTGGAAGTTCTAGGTTTTGATGGTGTGTAGGGAGAGAATTTTTGTACCCAAGATAAAGTTAGTAGATTGCTGGCCTTGGAAACCAAATTGATTTTTAGTTAAAGACCTTAAGTCTTAAAAAAATAAATGAAGAATTAGATTATGTTTTGTAATTCATTATTAACACTATTTTTACTTTTTGGGGTCTTTCTTTTCTCTTCTTTAGACATCTTTTTAAATAAAAATGAAAAAATAAAAGCAATGAAATAAAGAAATACATAATTATTGATTTTATTTGTTATGAAGTTAGATACACTTGTATGATCAGCTTACTTCACGTGTATGTTTCCCTTCAATGTTGTCTTTTGTCTTGTGACAATTTATTCAAGAAACACAGATTGTCTTTACTTGGGAGATGGATAGCTTCTTATAAGGATAGTTCCAGGAAAGCCACTTTAATGTTGAATTGGTCTTGAGAAAGTCCATGACATGGCGAAACGTGAAGACCGGGAGAATGTGCAATTTTTAAAACCATTATTATGCCACTAAACCAAGCTTTTACCATCTTTTACTGGTTATGATCCCTACAAAGTGGTATCAACTTGTTTTTTCAGCTGGGATTTATTACTCCTACCGTAGTTAGAAAATCGACCCAGGCAGGAGACAGAGAGCAGTGTCTGTTTATGTTTTCCTTCACCACGTACTCCCAGCTGACCAGACGCAATCAGAAATAGCGTCTAAAATAGCGCCTATTGCAGTCAATGTGCACATTTACTAAAGAGTGGGATTCTATTACACCCACAGACCTCGGTGCCTCATTCTGTCATATTAAAGTGAGTACCTATATTATCGGACCAGCCCAGCTCCCTATAAGCCTGCGCACAGTAACAACGAATATATATTGAGGACATCCAACCTCTTTTGATTTCAAGTTAACACCCATTTGCCAACTTATACTATATTTACCATTGATTAGGCTTGGCTTGCAAACTCTGTTTGCTACATTCGCTACCTTTGTAGGGCATGTTGCTTTTAAATGCTTGTTAATGTCTCACAGATGATTTTGATATAGCACCACTGTTGATTTGTAGCCTTAGTGGCCACTTACAACTTTATTGTTATATTTTAATAAATATGTATATTTTGTATTTATTCTGATGGCATTGTGAATAGTTTTATTTTTAAAGGGAATCATATATGAAGTATATACTTTTAGCATTTTTAGCACTTGCCTTTTGTAGTATTCCACAAACACAAATATTAAAGTACTGGTTTGTACATTTCGGTGCTGCAATGTTATCACGCAATATTATTATTAAAGTACATTTCAGATAGCTTAAATGTATGTAGTGTCTTATTTTTTTTATTACTAATTTTCATTTTAAAAAGCCAACATATTCTATAGAATTGTACAATGGGATCACAAGATATTTATACGTACGCTCAACTTCCAAGTTTGACTTACAAGAAGAAAAGGTAGTGAGAGAGCCCTGCTCAAAGGTCTCACAAGCAAATACAAATGGGGTACAATTAGGTAAAAGTCATCATCAAGACACAGACAACTTTAACATTGCAAAGTCGCTAAATTCTTTTTTTTTTTTTTATGGAACTTGATTTATCAGCCTCATAAAGTAAAGTTTCTCTTACAGTCTTTATAATACAGAGTGCATATTACCAAATTAAATGCATTAATATAACATTATTTGTGCATATTGTATTTTCAGCTTTTTGTCACCACTGGATGTCACTACAGGGCCATATATATTTATGAAACCCTAGAGTTAGACTGGGAAGAGAATAACACTTGTTTAATAACTGAACAATTTATATGGTCTTTTAATAAAATTCACACATGTATTTCATTTCAGAATAGCGTTAATTGCTGCGGGTTTTAAGATTTGGTAGTTTGTTTAAACATGAGAAGGGGACGTGCTTAAGAAGAGTACACTACCATCAATGATTTATGTTTAAACCCCATCTATAGAATATAAAAATAGAAGTAATGTTTGTATCTATTAAAACATTTGCAAATCATACTTTGCAACAAGTTTTTTTTTTGCATAGTAGAATCAAAATATCGATCATTATCATTATAGATAGGTAGAGATTTGCAATAATAATTGCATTAATCTCATAATATAATTTTCAGCATTCATATAGTGCCAAGATTCTGCAGCATTCTTCAATAGTTTTTTTTTTTATATATATATATATATATATACATATATATATATATATACACCAATTTCTGGGATATAGTACACTATTAGTCTCTCTTTGTTTTTATATACGAATTCCAAGACTTCTTCTGACCTTGATCTCCTGGCGGAAGAATACTCTCTGAAGAATACCATAGCCATTTCTTCTGGCAAGCTTATATCTCTATACTGGACATATTATTTTATAACAATACCCACTGCTTTTTAATTGTTATCATTCTATTTATATATTTGCTATATCCTGTTACAACAGTTTTTCGTGTTGCCTATACACATTAGAATAATATTGTTTTGGCGCGACCTTTCCCTTTATCCTTTTTTTTACATTTGCATATCAGACTGAGCCCACGCAAAAGGGCGGAACAGATCCAAAATGCAGGCCAGATCTCTCTGCACAAAAGATGCAGCAACCTCAGACGATTGTTTCAAGCTTGTTAGGCATAGTCAGTGAAGTATAGTCAACATCTCTCTAGGCACCGTGAGCAGGGGGTCCACATCTGGATTACCCTTTAAACTTAGGGAGAGCAAAAAAGCGGATGCAAGAGAATACTGAGAACAGACAACAGCTCAAATAGCCTGTGCTAAAAAGATCTGAGCGGGGACTCACTGAAGGGCAGGCTATTTGAGCTGTTGTCCATTCTCGGTATTCTCTAACACTTTGTTTTCATTATGGAGTCAAGAAGATTATTTTCTCTTTTTTGTGACCTAATTGGAAATCGCATTATTAGCTTTTTATTTTTTTCCCTTTTCTATCAATAACATAAAAAAAAGCA